GGTATCCGATACGGGGACGGATTCGAGTATCGGATTCGGCAAAATCTAAATTTTAAGATTCGGGGGTGCAGATCCAAATATGGATATGGGTGTGGGGATTCGGCTAAAAAAATTCAAAATAAAAAAATAGATATATGTTTGGTAGTTTTAAATTTTTATTTACCACATAATTACTATAAAATTAATATACTTGTTGCAAATACTATGTAAAGTAAAAAAAATTGTTCTAAAAAATTACTCATTGATGTTAACAACTATTTTGTTCATCATGATAAAGTACCGTTATTTTTCAATTGCAATATAGAAATTACTTCAAAAGAACGGAACGGCTACTATTAAACTGCTACTGTTAAATCAATAATAATATTTCTAAACAAGGTTTGGTGGCAATGTGCAAAAGTATTATTATAGTAGCAAAAGTATTATTATAGTATTTTTTATATTTAAGAGTTCTTTAAGCATTAGAATCGAGAACATGACAGTAGTTTATGACAGCTGTTCTCCTCATCAAGTCTTGCAATATCCACATATTTTTAAAAGAGATTTAACAAATATTATTAAACAAAGTTTGGTGGCAAACATGAGTGGCCTTGGAATGTGCAAAACACTAGTGCATTTATTATTGTATTATTTTATTACATTTTCTTTACACCTAAAGGCACTGCAGATCATCTTCCTCAAGGACCCCAACTTCTTTCAAGCTTCCCTAACTTCTTTCAAGCTTGTATAGATGCTCAAAATTACCCAATTTCTTTCAAGCTCTTACAAACCACCATTCACGCTGCCTTCACCTCGTCCTTCTTCCTTCATAAGTGAAAAAGAAAGTCATTCAACGCTGTTCCACCAAGTTCTGTCGATGGACTCCGGTCAAAGTGTCCGACGTCGGTTGACTGAATCCGGGACGTATCCCGTTCCCGGTCCCGTATCGAGACGGGTACGACACCAAAATAGGCGAGTCTGTGCAACTTAGATTTAGAGCACTCAGAGAGCCGTCAAGATTTTATGTATTGTAGGCGTATAAAGATTGAGGAGGTTAATGGGGCAATATGTAAGATTAGGGTTTTTTTTTGGAGGGGGGGGGGGCACGGGCCAGTCGAGATTCTTGTGGAACTTTGAAAGAGCGCAAGCAAAAGTAGGTATAAAGTTTCTAATTGGTTGTTTAATGTCATTTTAGGACAGCTAAAATGCCCAAAGAATGGAGGTGGAGTACGATGATGTCGTTGTGCAACAACAAGGGTGATAGTCAAAATTGCAACAACTATAGGGGTATCAAACTATTAAGTCACACTTTGAAAGTGTGGTAGAGGGTGGTAGAGAGGATGAGGGGAGATATGTCTAATTTCGAGAACCAATTCAGATGCATGCAGGGGCGATCAACTACAGAATCCATCCATCTTTTAAGGAGATTATTGGAGCAGTATATGGATAGAAAAAAGAGACTTACATATGGTGTTTATTGACCTAGAAAAGGCACATGATAAATTTCCAAGGGAAGTTTTATCGAGATGCTTGAAGTCTAGATGGGATTGCACCAAGGATCAGCTCTTAGCCCCTTTTTATTTACTTTGATGATGAATGAATTGACACGATATATTCAAGGGGGGGGGGGTACCATGATGTTTGTTATTTGCAGATGCCATAGTATTGATTAACGAGACACACGACAAAGTTAATGATAGGCTGCAGATTTGGAGACAGATCCTAGAGTCTAAAGGTTTTAAGTTGAGCATGACTAAAATAGAGTACATGGAGTGCAAATTCAGTGACGCATCACATGAGGCAGATGCGGAAGTGAAATTGATACTTTAAGTCATTCCAAATGGAGGGCTTTAAGTATCTTGGGTCAATAATAATCCAAGAAAATGGGGAGATCGACGTTGATGTCACACTTCATATTAGAGCAGAGTGGATGAAATGGAGGCTTGAATCCGGTGTCCTATATGATAAGAATATGCCAACAAGACTTAAGGTAAGTTTTATGGAGTGGTGGTTAAACCAGTTATGTTGTATGGGGCAGAGTGTTGGCCCGTCAAGAACTCACAGTTTTAGCATATGAAAGTAGTAGAAATGAGGATGCTTAGATAGATGTGTGGGCATAGTAGGAGAAATAAGATTAGGAACGAAGATATATGAGACAAGGTGGGAGTGGCTTCTGTGGTGGACAGCAAAAAGCGAGACTGAGATAGTTCGGGCGCATGTAGAGGAGGAGCTCAATGAGGAGGTGCGAGAGATTGACAATGATAGGTCTAAGGAGAGGTAGAGGTAGACCGAGGAAGAATTGGGGAAAAGTGATTAGACAGGACATGATACATCTTCAGTTCACCGAGGACATGATCTTAGATAAAAACCATGGAGGTCGAGGATTAAGATAGAATGTTAGTAGTAGTCGAGCGATTTCTCTCTTTTTTGTGGAGAGTATGATTCTAGTTAAGAGCACCTATGTGCTCTCTTTTATTATTACTACAACTACTATTATTATCATCATCATCATTATTTAAAATTTTCAATTATATTACTATTATTGTTTCTTTTACTTTTCTTTTCTTCACTATTTTCATCGTAGCTATTTTTACTCTTGTATTTTTCAAACATGTTTTGAAAACGCTTTTCTTGAGCCGAGGGTCAATCGGAAATAACCTCTCTACCTCATACAAGGTAGGGGTAAGGTCAGCTTACATCCCATCCTCCCCATACCCCACTTGTGGGATCCCACTGGTATGTTGTTGTTGCAGTTCTATGGTAGAAATGTTGTTAGCAATATCCTCATTGGACAGCTATATGCACTTTACCGCGTATATCATTTTCATCCTTTTGGATATCTGCCGCTTAAATCAGCCTTTATGTTGTCTAAGTTGCCTATCTTTATGCTTCCTTGATTTTAAGGGGGGTGCACCGCCTGTTTTTGTCCAAAATATTATGAGAAAGTGAAACATTTTCTGTCCTACTTACTTTGCAGGAAAAAGGCAATGAATATGTCAAGACGGGCAAGAAACATTATTCGGATGCTATTGATTGCTATACGAGGGCAATAAATCAGAATGCTTTAAGTGATACTGAACAGTCAATTCTCTATTCAAATAGAGCTCATGTCAATCTTCTCTTGGGAAATTATAGACGTGCACTCCTGGATGCAGAAGACGCAACCAAATTAAATCCAAGTAATTTTAAGGTATGCTTTTTCACTATGCATCATGTGTCGTATTACGGGCCATAGTTTCCTGCAAGTGCTGCATGTTCTTGGAGTATGTGACATGTATTGTACTTTATTCATAGGCACTTTATAGAGCAGCAAAAGCATCATTTTCTCTGAATCTGTTGGCTGAAGCAAAAGAGTTCTGTGAGAGAGGTCTTCAACTGTCGTCATCTAATGAAGAACTGAAGAAGCTTGCTAGGCAGATTGATATACAAAAATCAGAAAAGGAACAGCGTGATGCTGAAGTGTCTAAAGCAGTATCTTCTGCTAAGGTCTAAAACTATAGTTTTATCTGCATGTAGTAACAATTCTTCATTCTGGTAGGTTCTCACCACTTAAGATGAACTATACAGGCCCTTGTTTCTGCATTCGAAACTAGAAGATTGAAGATTGAAAAGGCGATGTATCAAGAACTCACTGGACAAAAAAAACCAACATTAGACAGAAATAATATTCTTCATTGGCCCGTTCTTCTTCTGTATCCAGAGGTTATGTCCAGCGACTTCATAGAGGACTTCTGTGAGACTGACATGTTTTCAGCTCATCTTGATATGATATCCTTTGCTATACCCCTATATATTGATGCAAAAATAATAAATACGAATTCTTAAGTCAAATGTGGTTCTCTCTGATTTACACCAATTTGACCAATCATTCTTATTTAACTAAAGCAAGTTATTGTTTTTCCATTATTATGAAGGATTTTGGTCATCCTTAGCTTCAATACATGTTTTCAGAAGGTTGCCCGCCTCTGCCATGGGATAAAGAAAATGCTTACACTCGTGATGCTATTGAGTTGTATTATGAGGTATATAAATGTTTCATCATCTCTGGTGGCAACAAATTTTTTACTTTTCTATTTCTCATGTCACTCAGAGAATCATCCCAATACATAATCTTAATACGAGCACCTACTGGGCATCATTGAACATGGTTTTGCTCTATATAGATGGCTAACATACTGCTGTGTGCTCAAAATCTGGCACATTAAATTAGAAAGAATCTCATTATGATGAAGTCTTCTTAAAAAATCATCTACGTTGGTGTTAATTGAATTTTGTGGTTTGATTTGACGAAATTAATATGATTGGAATTGAATTTTTTCAAGTTTGAAGTCCATTGGATAAAGATGCGTAGGTACAAATGCTTTTTGGTTCCTTTTGATCTTATTGTCAAATTAAAAGTTAGAGGTCTAATTGGTGCATCCCCCTAGAACATTTATATCAATTCTACTTCATTAAAAGGCGAACCTTCTGAAAAAATCTTTTATGAAATTGGGCATGTAGCAAGGAGCTTTAGATCTGTAGTAGCACAATGTTGAAGGCTGGAGCATCTGCCCCTTTGGGTCTTGAATATATCATCAGGGTGGTTGATAAGCTCTTAGGGGTGATTTGGTTTAAAAACAAGTTATACAGGAATTGTAATATAAGGATTAATGATGCAGGGATTGTAATGCAGAGATTACTTTTTATCGAGCCTTTGGTTCATTGTGTTAAAAATTGTATATATAGTATATAACTTAAACTTGTGATTGGTTTAAACTGTATAAGAGTTTGGAGAAGGGTTTTAGGAGACCCACAAGGGTAGTTTTGGCATTTTGAATATTTTATCCATGTATAACTGCATCATGGTATTGTTATACCACATTAGTCTTGGTATAAAACAATACACCAATTATACCATGATTAGTTAAACATGATTTTAAAACAGAAAGAAGGTCATACATGATTCAAAAGACAATCCAAACATTGGATAAGTACCAAATCTTATACCATGATTATTTCATTCAATCTGTCAAAATAAACGAGGTCTTAATGCTTTCCTTATTAGTGCCACCAGTTCAAGCGGATGTAATGTGCTTCTCTGTTCTGAACTTGTGATTGAGCAGGCTTGTGCTGGAGTCTGTTTATCCAAGCGAGATATTCTTCGCTCTCTGCTTGAAGGAACAGCTGCTTCTCATGTGGAAGGCTTTGGTAATGAGGAGAATGGTTCTGCTCAGAGTTCAACCAAGGGTGGCATTTCGCAAGGTACACTCCCCCATCTCTATATTCGAACAGATGAAAATTTGAGGAGGCTCCACTTTCAAGACTATTGCAATCTTTAGTAGATTTTCTGCCTAGTGTCTGAAACAAGAGACCCCTTGTACCAATTCGAAACATAGTGCAGATTATACTGTGCGCTGGTCGTAGGTGGTCCACTGATTTGGTTCAGCCTTCTTTTTTCCAAAATACTTGGACTTTATTACATTTTTGCTTGTTCATTGAGTATAATGAAAGTTAAACTCTCCAAACCATCACTGTTGTCTTGGCTTTCCTTCTATATGGGTTTGCAACTTTTTATTTTTAAAAACTGAGGAGTTGCACTCGATTGCTGTCTTTATATGTCTATGGGTACAATTATCTCCCCTCCTATAAACCTTAAGGATACTGGGACCTCTCACTTATTATATAAACAATGGCATACTTTTTAGTGGTAGATATTACAGTCTTGGTTCAAATGTACAAGTAGAGTGTTTCTGCAGTAGTAGCTTTTACTTTCAATGACCTTAATCTAGTGGTAGATATTATATTCTTGGTTCAAATGTACCTTTTCTGCTCAGTGACTGAGTCAGATTTTTCACCAATGAGGGGTCAAAATATAAAGAAGTAGACCCATAAAGAATCCAACAGGTGTCAATATGTAGTATATATACGTTAAAAGAAAATTTTACCTAGCCGCACAGTGTAATTTTCCGACACCCCTTGAATTCATGTGGCTTTGTCACTTCTTTTGTAAATAATGTGATGCATCTTGAACCACGTCACTAGGCTGTCTTTTCCCTTTTGCCTTTATGGACTAATTCCATTCTTATTTTTCTTCACTCCATCTTTTCAGCGGATGCTCCTAGATGGGTCAAAATTAATGAGAAAAGAACACTTTATGATGTTCTAAAGGAACCGAGTTTTGTTGTTACTGGAATCCCTGGTATGCCAGTTTATTCGTAGGATGTATTTGCACTTTATGCAGTCCCATCACACTCATGTAATGTAAGATTATTTTCTTATCTTTTGCTGTAGTGTTTTGGGTTGTCTCAAGAAAGTCCAGCTTCCATAAAGACTTCAAATCTGGAAATTGGGCTCCTCCAGAACTGGCATGAATTTGTGGAGTAGTTGCAAATCCCTGATTAGTTCCGATTGTCATGCGAGTATCCTCATGTACGATACACCGTTATTTAGTGTTTGATAATGTAACTTCAGTATAGTTGATTTTGTCCATGTAGAGTAGAGAGATTTAGGATTCTTGCTCATATTCTGTAGACTGCAGCTGTGCAAATCTTTAAGGTTTCAGCTGTTTGTAGGTGTAAAATAATGGGTAGGAGGGGAATTGTGTTGGTGTTTACCTGTTAACAAAATGAAACATATTTTATTCATTTATTAAAGGACATTATGGGAGAGAGAATAGTTGTGGTCATATAGAAGACTAGACTGTTTAAAATTATGTCTAGTGTTGGCAACAGACTTGGATCTGCAATAATATCAAATGTTTCTTATCGGTGCTCTTTAGTCTCAAGTCTAAAGGTGTTAATTGGCCCGGCTAACAACCCGGTTCAGCCCGATCCGGTAAGGGGTGGGACAGGTTGGCTAGGGCAGGGGGTTGTGCCGGACGGGGTCGGGCCTTTTTTGGATACTGGTGCACCGGAACCCGGCTAGCCCGGTAACCTGTTCAAGGGTTTTAACTGTGTTCGAGCCCTGTTTAAGTTGTAATTTTTTTAAAAAAAAATTCTGATCGTTGCCAACGGTCAAAATCAAACTTGGGCAAAGGCCATTTTTGCACTTTTATTCATTTCGCCCTATCCCCTTACAAAAATAGCCCCTCCACCCCTAATATTTATATATTATATTTTTAGCTTTTTAAAAACTATAAATAGCCCCCCTCTTCTTCATTTTTCTCACAACTTGCTCTTTTCTTCTACTCGAATTCTCTTTCAATTCCCTCTTGATTATTGAATTGCTTATTGTTCTCAAGTTCTCAATTAATTAATATTTTAACTTTTATCAATTATTTACGGTAGCCACTACAAATTACAATTATCAAGTGAAGTGTGGTTACTATTTTTGTTAGGTTCAAGTTAAATCATGCCCCTTGCTTCTAAAGTGCGCTCACGTGTTTGGGAACACTTTGAGGCGGTAGAAGAAAATGAAAAAGTTCGCAAAGTAGAGTGTAAGAACTGTGGTGGAGAATTTAATGTTCGTCAAAAGTGGGAGGGTACAGCTGGCTTAAGGAGGCATATCAAGGGTTGTCTTGAGCGCGTCCAAGAATTTGTATTTAAGTTCATTTGAGACAATTTGTGTTATTTTGAATTTGTTAGACTTATTTAAGCTTAATGCGTTAGTTTATTAGACAGTTAATCTGAAATATTATTATGCAATGAAAATATAAAATGAAAGCGTTTGAAGTTTGATCCTTACATAGTGGTCTTATTAAATAATTTTATAAAACCACTTAATTTCAATTTTCAAATTTAAAACTTTAAACTTTAAAGTTTAATTTTATGCCTTAAAATATTTATTTTATTATATAAAAGTTTGCAAACACTAAAATATCAACTACATTGAAAAAGGAAACATAATGCACTTAAAAAAATGGGTTCTTATAGAAATATCCCAAAAGTCCCAACTTACCATTCTCTAACCATTAATTATAAACTTACCAAAACTAGCCAAGTACATATAAAAATTGAAAACCCAAAGAAATAAGGTTCTTTCTCTTTCAAGAATCATACACAAAGATTTCCTTCTATATTTTCAAGCGCGATTAGCAGCACTAGATGCAAGACGAAAAGAAAATTTCATGAATGAGGTAGCAAATAAAGTGATAAAATATAAAAATAGACTTTTTTCAATGGGTATGGTTGAGATTCATTGAAAACATATAGTTGAGTCAATATACAAAACTTAAGGTAGATTGGAGGTGATTTGGACTTACTTGGAATCAAAATTCGTAGTCAAAAAATTCTTCTGCGACACATGTATCACGCATGTATCTCACATGCAGGTATACATCGATATATATGTGATACACATTTAATACATATGTAATACACCTATTATTTTTTTCATATTCATCTTGTACTTCGAATTTTCAATTCAAATCACCTTAAAACTCCATCAAATCATCCCAAAATTGAGATTCAAGCTCCTTAAAGATATTTACTCACTCTATTCTAATAACACAACTCAAAAGAAAGCAAAAAATTTGACCTTTTTTGGCTGCAAATAGATAATTGGCTAATATTAATAATACGTTATGAATTGACCAATTTTTATAATAAACTACTTATAAATGGACATAGATGATATTTTCCCAAAAAAAAAATTAACACGGCTCGGTCTGGACCCGATAAGCCCGAACCCGGATGGGCACAATAAAAACCGGAATATCCCAACCCCCTACTAGCTTGGAACCCAAGCCCACTAACCGGACGTGCTACTTTTTCCCATGTCTAGTCCGGTCGAACCCGTCCGATAAATACCCTTAGCTTTTACTAGTGTAATTGATTTGATCAATGCCCAACAAACATCGAACTTAATGGCTTCATTCTGCCAAGTCCCACGTGCAATAGAAACAGGGTATATCTGCCAAAAACTAATATAATAGACCATTAAGTTTATAGTCTCGACTATTTAGCAGTTTTATTCTGTCCTGACTAGGGACTGACGTGATAAAATTAATAATTTGCCAATCTATAAGATAAAACATTTAAAAGAACCGTTTGTTCTACTTGATATAATATAATGATATGTAAGATCAATAATCTCTTTATACGTCAACTTATATTCTGATAGAGAATGAAATATTCAGTTGATTTTTAAGTAGAAAACATTTTCAATGTTATGCGTTAAACTCAAACTCCGTGGTAATTTACCTACCAATTACTAATAAAATTTGATTCTTAGTTTAACTGATAAGATTCTGCCTCAAGAATCTCGTTTCCAATTAACCTTTCTCGATTTCCACTCTTGAAAATCTTTCACATTCCTCCTCCATATATACCACTGAGATTCTACCTCTTAGAATTCACACACACACATTAGTACTATGGCTGCTCCCATGTGCTCCGCCGTGGATCTCAGCCCCCTATTAGGTGGCGCCACCAACGCCACCGCTGCGGCCGAGTACATTTGCCACCAGTTTAACAACGTTTCTGATAAATTCATTGACACAGGCTTTGCAGTTGACACTACTTTTCTACTATTTTCTGCCTATTTAGTCTTCGCAATGCAACTTGATTTTGCAATGTTATGTGCTGGCTCAGTTAGAGCCAAAAATACAATGAACATAATGTTAACCAACGTTATTGATGCCACAGCAGGTGGACATTTTTATTACCTATTTGGTTTTGCTTTTGCATTTGGTAGCCCATCAAATGGTTTCATTGGTCATCACAATTTTGGCCTCAAGAATTTCCCTTCAGAGGGTTCAGATTTTGGCTATTTCTTATACCAGTGGTGTTTTGCAATTGCTGCCGCAGGAATAACAAGTGGTTCAATTGCAGAACGTACTCCATTCATCTCCTATTTAATTTACTCTTCATTTTTAACAGGCTTTGTATATCCCATTACAGCCCATTGGTTTTGGTCTGGAGATGGTTGGGCCAGCCCAGCAAGAAATGATGGGAATCTTTTATTTGGGTCAGGGGTAATTGATTTTGCTGGTTCAGGGGTTGTTCATATGGTAGGTGGAATTGCAGGTTTATGGGGTGCTTTAATTGAAGGTCCAAGAATTGGGAGATTTGATCATGAAGAGAAACCAGTAGCAATGAAAGGACATAATGGGACATTGGTTGTTCTTGGAACTTTTTTGTTATGGTTTGGATGGTATGGTTTTAATCCTGGTTCTGTCATGAATATTTTGAAGGCTTATGGAAATAATGGGTCCTATTATGGACAATGGAGTGCTATTGGTAGAGCTGCTGTTACTTCTACACTCTCTGGATGCACAGCTGCTTTAACAACATTATTTGGAAAAAGGTTATGTTAAAAGACAATAATCTTGAATTTCCTAGAATTGTGTGTTCTGATTAGTTGCTTGATTGTGATGTATATATGTGTTTAAGTGCATAACACTTATGTTAACTTATAAGCTAAGTTCATTGTGCGTACAAGTTTTGCATTCATATTGAGGACATGGGATTTTGATGAATTCATGATTCATGTATGAGAAATTACTTTGGTTCATGTAACCATGAGTCTCAAAGTCTCTTTTTCCGATATCTAATGGCATGGCCTAGTGGTCAATGAAATAGGAAAGACCTAGACCAGAATTTGGCTTCCATAAACAAAAAATACTTATTTGTATGTCTAAATCTTGGTGGGAAGAATTAACTTATACATGTCTTGGTGGGAGAAAACAGGCACGGAATAAATTAATTGAGGTACATGCAAGTTGGTCCAGACACCACCATTAAAAAGTTCTCTTTATACTTTCATATACCTTTGTAGTTGACATTTGCAAGAAAAGATTTCTCTCCTGAAGAAAGTGCTCTAGTCTAACATTCCTATTCCTCTAACAGGTTACTCATAGGCCACTGGAACTTAACGGACGTCTGCAATGGTTTGCTAGGAGGCTTTGCGGCGATCACAGGAGGCTGCTCTGTAGTGGATCCATGGGCAGCCATAATTTGCGGACTTGTTGCAGCTTGGGTTCTCATTGGTTGCAACAAGCTCGCGGAGAAATTCCAGTACGACGATCCACTAGAAGCAGCACAACTCCACGGTGGTTGTGGAGCATGGGGGATTATTTTCACAGCATTATTTGCTGAGAAAAAGTACATAAACGAGATATATCCAGGCAAAGAAGGGAGACCATATGGATTGCTAAGGGGTGGTGGAGCAAAGATGTTAACAGCACATGTAGTGCAGATAGTGGTGATTGTTGGATGGGTTAGTGTGACAAACTGACAATGGGCACATTGTTTTGGATTCTACATAAGATAAAGCTTTTGAGGATATCAATGGACGATGAACTTGCAGGAATGGATCTCACCAGCCATGGTGGTTATGCTTATTACAACGACGATAACGATGAACAGACACTTAAAGATGCATTGGCTCCCAAGTTGGAGATGACTGGTAGAGCAACAGTTTAGTTTAGCTGGTGATCATGCTGCAGTAGTTCATTTGACAATTTAGATTAAATAAACATGTTATTGTACATACAAATTTATTGTAGAGATGGAAATTGGTGGCAAGAAAACAATTTCGTTATTGATGCTATCTTAAAATCTCTTTATTAGAACAAACTTTTGCATGTCTAACAGCGACAGTACATTTTGAGCCTTGGAGGACAATATTACCCAAAGAATAGACGAGAACTAAGCAAGCTTCGCACCTTACCATCGGCAGTTGAGTTTCTAATTAGAATTTTAATATTATTCTCAATAAGTTAGACATGTACAAATTATTGAAGTGGACTTGTTATAGTTGAGTCAAATATATGAATCTACATTACGTTCCACCTTATTATAATATATTTTTATAGATAATTATATCTATGCTAGCAGTTACCAAAACCTCTCATATTCGCATATTTAGAACTTAGATTATTCCTATGCTAGTCGTAAACCTATAACAGTTACTTCCCTCTATTCAGGGCTTCAAAATGACTAGGTCGGACAAAGCTTACATAGGAGCGCAATTAAATTAAATAAAATCAAGAAAAAGAAAAAGGTAAAACTACTGGTTGCTTTCTCGTTCTTGAAGATTAAAGGAAAATAGACGCTAAATGATGCAGAGATCAAGGGAGAGAAGAGCCCTCTTTCCTCAAATTTTTATCCTTCTAAAAAGCACCTTTTGGCACTCTGCAAAATACATTTTGTCGTTTTCATTTTCTTTTCCTTTTTATTTTAACATGTCATTTTGTGGGTCCATTGCACTTTAAAACGTTAATACGACGGCAAAGATATAAGCTATTGTACTTAAAAATAGGGAGGATCCTTTGATGCAAAGATACCAGACTTCGTCCAAAATCAGCAATGATGGCTGAGTCTTGAAAGTAGAGCTTTAACTTGAAAGATGTACTACAAAACCACCAGAACATAATAAAAACCATCCATTTTAAAAGAGTTCCTCTGGCCCTCCTTGATACTCTTTTTTTCCACTTCCTTTTTATTCCACACAGATACTTAGGGAAGGAAAGAGAAATACTGTCGGAGCAATAGCACAAAACCAGCAAGTCAGCAACATAAAGAGCATAAAGACTTCATACGAACATATCCAGTACAACACGGAGACAGCTCCCGTCATGCATCAGGTCAAAAGCTTTGTTTATGTCCGTAAGCGTCATATTATGAGTTATGTATTCATCCACCTTGATTTCCTGTTAGTATGGAAGCATTGGTTGAATGAAAGTTATCGGAACTAAATGGAAAAGAAATGAAGAAACATATAGAAGACAACAACAACACAAGAACAACCCAGTGTAATCCCACAAGTGGGGTATGGAGAGGGTAGGATGTACGCAGCCTTACCCCTATACTGAGAGACTGGGAAACATAGACCCTCAAAGATGGAAGAAACACATAGAAGAGGAAAGAAAAAACTGACCTTCTTCAAATACTTGTCCACGAGCCAAGGAACTTGTGAACGGCTTTTGAAACCACCAAATGCGGTTCCCTTCCAGACACGGCCAGTCACCAGCTGAAATGGACGAGTGGATATCTCCTGACCAGATGCAGCAACACCCACAATCACTGAGGTTCCCCACCCCTGCAATTTCAATAAGTTTGGACACATTCAGCATCAGTATCAGTATTCATTATCTTGTACGGGGAGGGATGATATTGAAAAGGGAAAATGAAGACAAAACTTGAAAAGCGAACAAAAGCTCAAAAGATAAAGAGAATGTGGGACGGGGTAACCACGCGACTTCAAGCAGAGTGAGGCAGAGGCAAGGAAACAAACACCCCTCACCCCCAAGGCCCCAACTGCCATCCCAATATTATTGATAAGATACTAGCATAATTTACCTTGTGACAGCACTCTAAAGCAGCCCTCATAACCGAGACGTTTCCAATGCACTCAAAACTGTAATCAACACCACCATCTGTAAGATCCACAATGACTTGCTGTATTGGTTTCTCATGCTCTTTGGGGTTGATGAATTCAGTCACACCAAAATTTTTGGCTGCATACGACAGTTTAATATATGGGTGAGAGATGACGTGACAAATTATACGACAAACAACTGGATACAATTAATGACACAACCATAACAACTGTTGTGCTGCTCAAATTTGATTGAAATGCTACTACTTCTTGAATCAGATTAAATTTAATCAGACGCCCTTTCACCATGATTTCCAGTCTGGCATAAGCCTCAAATATTTTTAGTGGGGAGGAATGATTTGGTAAGAAATATTATCTCTTGCTTTCAAATATTTAAAGTTTGAATTGAAATCAATCTTGATGGTAGATTGAGTTTGCGAATTGATGTAATGCACTTATAGGGGTTGAGAGCACAAGGCCTAAAGGTAATATTTGGCATCCTTTCTTAGTTGGAAGAGCCGGCTGATGAATTTTATTTTATGGAAAGGTTGAGGGCAATCAAGACAAGGAATTATTGCAAGGCTTCTTTTGCTTTTCCATTACCATTATATTCCATCCCATAAGGGAGCTTTCTACACAGTTTACCACTATGGCATAGTGATAATAACATAAAAGTTCCTCTAAACACTGACAAACATATATCTACAAATATGTCTACATATATACATCTAAAAATGAAATCATTTATCAGATTTTGATGAACATTAGTAACTTGTGTTTGAATTCTCAAGATAGCAATCTTAGGAGTAGCACAAATTTTGACAAATCTGATGTAAAAGATTCTTGGAGCCTATTCAAATCCTTACTATTCCTAAAAGTTCAACTAGTCCACAATCTTAGACAGAGTGGATGAAGCTGTACCTCTATCAAACTTTTTGCTGTCAATATCAATCCCAATAATTCGCGAAGCACCAGCAGCCTTTGCACCCTCCGCCACCTAACAAGCAAAATTGATAGATTACATAAATATATTAAAGGAACTTAAATATTGACACATAATCAAATTGTTAGAAACTTACAGCAAGACCAACTGTGCCCAGGCCAAAGACAGCAACAATGGAACCTGGTTCAACTTTTGCAGTGTTCCAAACAGCTCCAAGGCCTATAAACAGCAAATACCCAATGTAAAATACAAGGAGGGGATGGTAAGAGTGCACATTAACCATTAATTGAAAATAAACAAAACACAAGGTATTGGAAAAAGAAAGGGAACAAACGAACATAGTAAAAAGGGCGTTCTATGATTTATGATTTCTTCCTCAGCTTTTAATCTAGGGGAATAAACCAGCGTGAAGTTTTAATTAAAAGGATAGATAAGATGGACGCTTGGGTTAAACCAACCAAAAGGTACTATCTAGTAACTCATATAAATCAAATTACTATAACGATCGGTTCCCTAACAATATACTTATATGCATTACCATCCCCGTTGTATCAAACATCTATACTAAGAGCCCCACTATGATACTTGGTTTTAGCTTCCTTGTTTACTTTCCATTCTTCTTTTACTTCTCTTTCTTTAGCTTTTGTTTTGAAGTGTTTTATCTCAAAATTCTCTTTAAATGCATCACATGGTCTCAGAAGTTGCTCTCAATTTGACTGTACAGTCATTTTAGCAAAAATTGGAGAGATTGGGAAATCAATAAGAACAACAAATAGAATGATGATGAAGTCAATGCAAGACCAGCCAAACAATTTATTGCACTAAAAAATTATTAATAATAAAGAACTTCAAGTACTTTTAAATTTAATTTTTTATTTTTTATTTTTTTTATTTTGTGTAATATTGACCTGAGACGAGTTTAAATGGAGTAAGATGATCAGTGAGGATTCATATAGCCAACTCCAACTTATTTGGGGCTAAGGTGTAGCTGTTGTATACATTATTGATAAAGAGCAAAAGAGCAGATTGGAAATGGAGTAAGAGCTAGCATTAAATCAGAGATACTACAGAAGAAGTTTCATGAATTAGATTGGAGGAAACCACACGAAGAGTTACCGGTTGGAACACCGCATCCAAGAAGGCAGACTTTCTCCAGAGGAGCTACTGGGTCAATCTTTGCAACACTAACATCATGGACAACAGTGTACTGACTGAAGGTTGAAGTTCCCATGAAATGATAGATTGGCTTTCCATTGATAGAAAATCGACTCTGGCGGTCGTTCATCATAACTCCTACCCCAGTAGCCGCCCTTACTTTACCACAAAGGTTGGTCTTTCCTGATTTGCAGAACTTGCATTCTCTGCATTCAGCCTGGTAACAAGGTATAACATGGTCCCCTGGCTGAACCTCAGTCACTCCTTCACCGACACTTTCTACAATCCTGCAAATTTAGAGGGCTAAGACCAAGAAAAAAGGTATCCACACAAAACTTTCATTTAGCTTCAATGGAAACTACAACGTTTAAATGAAATCATAAGAAAAGCGAGCACGTACCCTGCAGCCTCATGACCAAGCACACATGGGAAGAGACCTTCAGGATCCTTCAAGGAGAAAGAAGCATGTGTCAGATTACTAATGATCTTGAACCATTGACTCTGAACTTATTGCTTCTCAAAATTACCAATTTCCACGTAAACATTAGGAATTGCAAAGAAATTTTCCAAATAACAAGGAAAGAGCTAAAAATTCTTGGCACTCCAAGATATCCTTGAGCATAAAAATTTAGAGGAAGCGAAAATCTGATAATGCATGTTTTAATGAAATTCCATAGGGAAAAATACTTTTGCACTAGTTTTATTGTTTATCATAAGAATGTAATGATATGTTCATAATACTTATTAGCCACCCAAAAGCAAATTAGTATTGCTGCAGAAATGCAGAACTCTTCAACTCCATTTGATGATTCAGCCATCAATCAACTATGCCACAATCCCAAAGATCAAATCACTCATTCGACAGGTACTCCCCGAGTATTCATCACACTTAGGCCACATAACTATACCTTTATCCGGCTTAGACTGGCTATGCTTTTAGAAACTCACATAGCCGGAATTCCATATGTCTGATTGACCACTTAAGCAAAATCAGTAGTTCCTAAATAAGAGGAAAAATGTATACATACAGATAGAGTATGAAATTACCTTGCCACTCCAGGTATAAGCATCAGTGTGGCAGAGAGCAGTATAGAGAACTTTAACACGGACTTCACCGGCCTGCGGTGGAGCTACCTGCACATCCTCGATCACCAGAGGCTTGTTGGGTTCCCAGGCCACCGCAGCTATATACACCCATTTCACAATCCATAATCACAAATTAAAGCTCAAAAATTAGGGTTCACAGAAAGCATTAAAAATTGCAAGTAACAAACATACATTTCTATAAGTGGTATACTAGTAGTGCAGTATATATATATATATATATACTGGTTTAAATATCAGATCCGCCTTTGATATTGCTTTAAAGTGAGAATTGAATACATTGATAGAATATAGAAGAAGTACCTTTGCAGGTGATGACTTGACCTTGTGTAGCCATGATTTAGGAACTCCAATTCGGACCACAGAATCAATTTGTGAGAGAAAATACTAACACTGTTTTTCTGAGGGATGAGTGGCACTTCAAATAGATCCGATGCTAACTTCAATTATTACTAAGCCATTCCTTTCCATGTCAAAGCCCAGCCCACTTCAATTATTATTTTCTTTCCCTACTTTCTTTTTCCCTTTGTTATTTGATATATATTATTTCTATGTGATTATAAAAATAATATTTTTTTTAGGATAAACTGGAAAAAAATAATTTTAAAAGTGCATATTACTTCATCAATGAACATTTCGGGACAAGGGAACTGTTTTGAATGGAACTCGTCTTTTTCAAATCTTGTATATAGTATTTTAATACAAAAGGCGTAGGGCATCAAAAGATAAAAAACTACTTTCTTCATTCTGCGCCCTGCTCAATCTTGACAATGCTTCGGCTAATTGGTTGTCCTCTCTAGCAATTTTGATTATTTTTATTGTTTTTAAGCATATTAATTAATTTGGTAGAATTATATTTACTTCAAAAGGGATATAATTATTATAGCCATTTTTCTTTCCTTACTTAATAAACGTTGGCCGTAGATTCGAAGGGGGCGTTTGGACATAAGAATTGTAAAGTTCAAAAAAAAAAAAAAAGGGGAATTTCTTTTTCAAGTGAAAATGGTATTTGAAAATTAGAGTTGTGTTGGACATGAATATAATTTTGGGTTATTTTGGAAGTTTTGTGAGGATCCGAGTGAAAATTTTGAAAAACAGCTTTCTGGGGTTTTTCGAATTCTCGAAAAATTCAAAAATTCAACTTCAAGTGAAAAATGAAAATTTTATGGCCAAACACTGATTTGAAAAAAAGTAAAAAAAAGTTCGGAAAAAGTGAAAAAATTATCATGTCCAAATGGTCTCTTAAAATAATTTTCACTTTAATTGAAATTATGAAGTTGGAGTTGGAGGTGAAGACGGAGTTGCGTTTGGGTATACTTTTTGCAAAGGGAGGAAATGGGCCTTCATGGCTATTTATAGTGTTAAAACTAAGAAAATATCATTTTTAGATCTGTAAAAGTAAATATCTCATGTTAAAAAAAATAGGGTAATAAAACTAAAAATAAGTATGTAAAGACTTTGGAGTCCAACTCCAAGTTGTATTTAAAAATTTATAACCAAACACTAATTTTAAAATAAAGTGAAAAAGTATTCCAAAAAAATGAATAAAATTTGGCTAGAAAAAAAAGGGCCATTTGTATCTATACCCGCTTTTTGTGTCACGTTTTAACTTATGCTCGCTTTGCAAAAAAATTACAAGCATACCCGCTTTTCGCATAACTTCAGCATACGGGGCTGAAGTAGCAAAGACTGAAGTATGCTGAAGTTTTGCGTGACTGTCTTTGCTACTTTAGCCCCGTATGCTGAAGTTACGCGAAAAAGTGTGTACGCTTGCAATTTTTTTTGCAAAGCGGGCACAAATTAAAACGTGACCCAAAAAGTGGGTATAGATGCAAATCCCCCATTTATCTATCTATATTTATATCTATATCTATGTTTATCTATCTATTTATTATTATAAAAGTACGAATAATTTATACTAAATGTTGAACGACTAAAATATCCCTGAAATATTGATCAACTTTTATACCCTTATATATTTGTATAATTTAAGGATCTAATTGTAAATTACCTAATGATGGAATTCTTTTTCGATTAAACTACACATACACCGACCCTATAAAGTTGACCCTACTTGGATTAGAAAGACACGTCCATGATTCCCTCTTTTTTTTTATACGTAAGATGCTTATATGCATATAATGAAATTGCATACATGGAGATATAACCTCTTTTTGTATTTTGTGATTTGTTTTATTTTCTTGTATGGTTTTATTGCTATCTGACAAAAATTGAGCCATTATATATTGAAATAGGGAGGAAAAAGCTAAATAAAAAGCTTAAAGTTTTGACTAAACCAAACATAATTAAACTATTCATCTTCGAAGCCTAATAACTTACATATAACTAATTATTTAGAATTCAAAGGTCCTTAAATGCAGTAAAGTTTTATTATACCTTCGTAATTGATGGAGTTTTATTTCTTAAAAAAATCATTCCCTCGAGTAAGTAATAGATGAGTTTTTCATGTACAAGAAATTTATTAAATGTACTAAGTCTTTTCAAAATTTATAGTAAAAACAACTAAAGAGACACTCCTATATATATTAGTCTTTCTAAAACCAGCCGTATTTGGCCAAGAACAAAGATATAGAGGATACAAGCATGACGAACTATATCAAGTAACGGAGCAAACGCATGCCTCCTTACATTAATTTGATGAATGAAAGTAAACTAAAGCTTATGCAATTAGATTTCTATTACTTTAGTATCTATTTTATAGTTCAACTAAATATGTTCTGTATATTAATGCGGTTAAAATATTACTATTTCTTACACAAAGCTTCTACTAAATGACAATAATCCTCATCGACAAATGCGCGAAGCATAAACTGCAATCATTCGTAGATTGTTTCGCTGGATACCACCAGATTTTGATGCACAAAGAAGATGCAAAAAATACAGCCTTAACCACACCTTGGGGAGTTTAATGCTATAGATTCATGTCGTTATGTCTTAAGAATGCTGGTGCCACCTACACGAGGGCTATGACCCTTTTTCACGACATGATTCATAAGGAGATCGAAATATATGTGGATGATATCATCATCAAATCTCGGAAGAGTTTAGAGCACTTGGATAATTTGAGGAAAATTTTCGAGTGCCTGCAAAGGTATAGTTTGAAATTGAATCCGGCAAAATGCGCGTTCGGAGTCCCTGCTGGAAAATTATTGGGCCTCACCATAAGCAGAAAAAAGGATAGAATTGGACCCATCAAAAATCAAGGCCATTCGGGAATTTTCACCACCCAAGAGTAATAAAGATGTGGTGAGTGTTGCACCATATTTTGCACTAGTCAAAACAAGATTCAACTTGTAGTTTCTCTGTTGTTGATAAAAAGAGTCGTCACCTAATATTTAAAGGTATACTAGGGTACCTATTTAATTACCAAGTCATATTCACTATTAATCGGTTAACCGGTGAGATTATGGGTAAGGGTTCTTGTTCTTCTAAGGGGAAGGTGTTAGGCCCTCCTTAAAATGTACCTGAGGTAGCTCCATAGGACTTGGACTAGGGTTGAGATCAATTATATATACTATGCTTTAATTAATATTAAAGAGTATGGCTTACTATATACATAGGGGAATAAAAGGAGCGTGCGACCTTTAAAGGGGTGTGAATTTACAAAGGAGTTTAAATATATTGGTGGATTAAAAGAGTTTTAAAATATACATGTAAACAGCTTAAAAGTATAATGTATGTAAAAAGAGGTTAAGTTATAAAACACTTGGTTTAGAGAATGATTGTACATGTAACTCTAGGAGATGTTTGTAAGAAAGTGAGTCTATGCTTGGTTTTAGAGAATGATTGTATATGTAACTCTAGGAGATATTTGTAAGAAAGTGAGTCTAAGATATACCTTGATTTTTAAAACTTAAAGAGAAGCAGTCTTTTGAAAATCCATTTGGGGCGACAGTACTTCACTTTTTATGAAAATCTTATTTACCTCTTTGAAGATAAAGCTTGCGATTTAAATCTGATTTCTTTTGAAAAATGAGCTACTGTTTTTTCTAAGTTCTGGGCTTCAAGATATTTTAATAAAAGGGAAGGTGAATGAAAGCGTAGTTATGACATGGGCAAATTATAACGAGCAAAATAGGGATTAGTTACTAACTAATTCTTTTAGTCCTATGTTCTTTAGGGTTTGCCTAGGTTTAATATGAAATTAAAGCATGAAATGTGATTGTTATATACATGTGAGATAGAACCATAACAGAGATATAACAAATGCAACAAGACAGTGGGATGAACTAGCGAAGCAGTAAATAATAATAAGGAGTTGAGGGAAAGAGGACTCGACTCTAGTGATGGGGCCTCAAGGAGGTAGGCCCAGCTGTAAAGAGACACATCTACAACTGATTTTGGCCTCTCCAGAAAAATAAAACAAGGCTGGGATTGGGTCTGAGTTCCTTAGGAACTTAGCAGGCCCAAGTGGATGTGCATGTCCAAAAGAAAGGAGAAAATCATTAGGCACATATTCCATATATTCAGCATATTCAACCATGGATGAAATATATAAACAAACAACTGGAACAAAAATATGTTAAAATATCAATACTCAAATACTATGAGAAATTATACAAATGTGGTAGTTATACATGGCATATAATTTACATTGAAAAAAAAAAACTTTCGTTGTATTTAAACACTAAACCCCTAAAAACCCAAAAAGTGTCAATGAATTAGGGGCTAAGGAGGGAGTTTTACTCAAGGTCGATGCCCCCTTTGAATCCCCCAATACTTCAACGTTCCCAAGGAACTCAAGGCCCAGGGCAATGCGTGTGCCGCGGGAGTGCTACCCAACCTAGAGTCAAACTCCACTCCCAAATACCCTTAACCACTAACAACTTATTTTTCCCTATGGGTTTAAGTGCCAATAAGGCCCTTTCAATGTAAACTAAATGCTATAATATCTCCTACCACAGAAGTATATTTTTCTTTCTAATAGAATAATATAAGGGTACACAAACAATTCTACATTGTCTAATACTAGATGAACAATCCACATGTTAAGTAAATCTGAATGTCAGACCTTCGAGCACATATATGATATAAATAGAAACATCATAACATATTGTTAAAGGTCTAAACATTTGAGAAAAACACATTCAAAGGGAAGGTGAAGAATACAGAGTTTAGATATGTAGCAATACAAGAAATACAGATACTCCTACCCCAGACAAACTAGCTTTAATATTGCCATTAGCACATGCATAGACTGACCATACTACTTAGAATTTCTTAGAAGGCATCAACAAGGATTTAAACAAACAATTATACTAAACAACTTCTTAGGCATTACTAGAAGTATCATAACATAATCGTAGTTCTTAGTAAGACTATAGGTTATAGATTCAACATGGAGTTCCTAAAGATGTTTTAATATAATCCCTTTAATCTTAAACAAACCACTTTTTTCAATCAGTAGCAATAGAG